TTCTCACTTTTTAAAAATGCCAATAGTTAACCAACATTCTTAAGTTACAGTAACATGGGGTTATTATAAGACAACTCCACAACTTCTCTTTCACCTTCTATTTTTAATTTTCATTTGTGTATTTTATAAATTTACTGTTTTATTAGTAATAAAACTGTCAGGAAAAACATAAGCAAAAGAAGAAAGACAATCCACTACCATATACAGACATACATACAGTTTAAGAGAATTAAAATTCACCTTACATTGCAATCTCAAGATTTTCTCACCACTCATAATGTGGTAATACTGAGATTTGCCCCAGATCATCAAAATTACAATCTGTATAACTTGAGGTACAGTAAAGTTCATCATTGACTTGTGTAATTAATATTTAGAGTCAGAGAAAACACTAGTATTACAGGATTTTTGCATAGTAATGTTTTTTAAAGACTTACAAGAGGGTTATTTCCCAGTCGTTCCCCCTAAATACATTTTAAAATAATTCAAAATAGTGATATATACTTAGCTTTTTCCTTTTTGTGTTGACATAATTTGCTGTAAGACACATTGCAGTCTCAAAGATGTTAAAATATATTTTTAAAGTACTTCTTAGATTTGGTGGAATATGTAAGTAGTAAACCTTAGCGTGTATAGCTAGAGAATTATAGTTCAGTTGATTTTTTTTTAAACATATTCCGAAGTGGTTGTAGTGACAGGAGAACTGAAGTAAGGACAGAAACTCACATATGGTTGGAATATAGTTTTAGCCTATGCATTGTATCTCTTTGCCTACCTAGAAGAAACTTTCTAAATCAGACAAAAACTGAATAGCAGTCTTCCTCTTGCATTCTTATATATTTTATTGAACTAGTAGGTAAAAGGGTAGAGCAGTAACTCTTAACTGAGGGAACATTAGTTCTGCTACACTGTTTTGAGCAGTAACCCAGGACATTGCTATTATTATTTTAAAAGCTGCCTTTTATTGGTTACTATGTGCAAGGACTCTAAAGGGAAATTAGTACATTTCATTCCTTAATTAGTTGAGCACATACTAATGCCAGTCACTATTTGAGGTTCTAGGGATATAGTAAAACAGACAAAAATCCTTGTTTTGTGGAGTTTATTCTCATGTGTATCCACCTCACAACCTTATCATGTAGGTATTATTGTCTCCATTTTTCCTGTAAGAAAAGTGAAGCTCTGAAAGGTTTCATGACTTGCCCAAAGTTAGACAAAACCAGGATTTGAAACTTAGGTTCTGTGGAACCACTGTGCTATGCTGTCAGAATTGTCTGTCTTTGGGGTTCAGTGGAAGAGAACAATTATTCTCAATGTCTCAAACAGTAGTAACCACAAAGCCCCTTTTTAATTCTGATACAAGTCTACCCATCTTAAAGTTGTGCAGAAAATTTTAAAAACAGAACTAATGGCCATTGCTTGTAAATCATAGTTGGCCTTCATAAAGAAATCCGTTTTTTATCCCAGGCTTAGAAACTGTATACAGTTTCTCAAAGCTGGTATAGTAGAAAACACAGATTTGAAAAATAGATACTAGTTCAAATCTTGGCTGTTGTACTGTTAGACTTTTTTTTTTTTTAAGGAGAATAATACCCCTAGTATTGGTTTTGTCAGGATTTAAATGAAAATATTTTGATTGATTGTCCATATAAGGAAATATTGGCAAAAAATTAATGACAGAATGATTTTTCTCAGTTGTGGTTCTCTTATCAGTGTTCCTTGTTAGAAAGCTGCTTATTGCTAAGTTAGATGTGTTTGTCACTATGTTTTTTAGATTTGAAAGTCTGTTGATGTCTTTCATATTTCTCTGCTTCAAAATTTGAAATGTTTTCAATTTCCTGGACACTATAACTCGGTAATAAAAATTCTTTTTGGTTGAGTTACTGAAATTAAAACAAACTGATAAGTTTTATTTATAACACCCACAATCTGGAAATAATCCAAATGTCCATCAGCTGATGCATGGCTAAGAAAAATAACATATATCCATACAATAGATATGCTTTTAATCAATAAGAAATAGAAGAAAAACAGTGGGATTGGACTCATTAAAGAAAAAGGAATAGAACAAATTACTGATAAAAGCAATAATATGGATGAACCTGACTCATTCTAGCAACTTGTTCTCTCAAGGCCAGTTTTTAACATATGCTGGGTTATTTGAATCTGGTCTTTCCTATCCTGCTGCTTTTAACATTTTTCCTTTATGATGAAATTAAGTAATTAATTTTTAATTTTAATTTGTAATTAAGTTGGAATTCTGCAACAAATTTCTGTCAGTTTTCCTGAAATGTAGAAAAACTTTAAATATAACTTCAAGTAAATTCTAGACCAGACTTTAAATTCAATTTCTGTAGCTCTGCCTTCTACTTTAGCTATTTAAAGAGACTGTTATTTAGTATAATTGTTCTTTTGCTGAGAAACCGTCAAAAAGAGTAGTTCATTTCAGAGGTATAGGTAAGGAGCAGATGGAATAAAATAAAAGGTTTTGTGGGTAGTATAAAGAGACAGAATGATTCAGGTAGGGTAGGTTTCCAAAGGTTTGAACAGAGGAGTAAGAGAGACTATTTTAGTCATTTTATTTGGGGACCCCAGAATGCCAATTAAAGAAGCTGATTGTTTAATGTTAATTTGTCTCATAGTTTTTCAATAGTTATAATTCCTCTTAAAGTATTAATTTTGACATATCAAAAGTTGGCCATAAGTCCTGTTGTTACGTTACAATTGTCAAAGTCACTGTTTTTGTCATTTACCAATGTAAGTGCAAGAGTGAAGATTACATTGGGAGTTTATGAAAGATGGAGAAGTTCTTCCTAGAAAAGGTTATAGCCTTGACAAATAAGCAAGAGATCACTAGAGTCAAGAAAAAAGTGTTCGGATAATTAACTGCGACTTTGGAAACTTCCTGGGTAACAAGTGTTTCAAATCTTAATGAGAGCTGTGTTTGTGATTGCGAGGGTATTACGATATGCCAAAACTCATTTAACTATACTGCTTAAGATCTGCTTGTTTTACTGGATGTAAATTATTCCTAAATAAAAATGATTTAAGAGTACTTAAGATTTTTTTTTCATTGAGGCATTTTATTTGCATGTATGTATTACATCCCTAGAAAAAGAAACCCAGGATTTCCTCTCCTGTGTTTTTGTCTTGCTTCTTCATGGTCCATGATGCCAGCTGAAGTTGTCAGTACAGTGAAACCAAAGTGACAGGATAGAAGCAGGTTATTCTGCTATTTTTCTAGATCTTTGAGTCACACATCAACTTTAGGGGCTGATCACTCCACACTTGTTTAACCTGCCTATGGGGTTTACAGCTGTTTTTCTAGCTCTGTGATCATCAATTTCAAATTTGACAGGGTAACCAAGCTTTATTAGTACAGAACTGGATGATGACTTTGGGGCATGGCCTAATAAGAACCTGGCATTTGCCTCTCTTTTCAGCATTGTTGGTGCTCTTAAGAACATTAGCTACGACTTCCACATGCACCTTTATAGCAGCATGGAGAGATGACAGAAGGAGTTTAAAAATTTGTTTAACAGATGTGTCCTTACAGATTCTCAGGTTCCCTGACCAAGCAGAAGTTAGGAAGGTGCCACATAATCAGCCTCACAGTTACTGACCTTATAATGCCATTGTGAAAGTTCAAGTGACCCAACGTGAATTTTGACTAGTCACTCACCTTTGCCTGAATTGATAACTGATTTTACTCATCTTCAACCTTTCTTGCCGAGGGCAGTTTGAATTGCATTAGAGACTTACCAGGCCTGTGCGTCCATCCATTCCAAATGGGGCACTCCCTTATTCAGTGAATGGAAACAAGACAGTCCAGGACAAAACAAAACACATGAGACAAAACTTTACACAAGTAAGTGAATAAAAACAAAGCAAGTAGCTGAAGAATTATAAACTAATGGCAAAAATATTTATCAAATAGTACACTCCAAGTCAAAACCAAAAGGCCTAATTGCCTTATATAAAAATCTACTTTGTACAAATCCAGGATAACAGATTTAGCTATGTGAGCTCAAGGAACCCACTGGAGCGCCCATCATTGTTGAGACTGACTCATCTAATAGGAAATTCAAAGAATAGATTGGACACAAGACAACCTGTTCAGTATACCTGTTTGTCTAAGGGTGTCATTTGGAATGATGCCAAATGGGGGTTTCAGGTCAACTATCAGAATAAGAGATACCATTCAGTATCTAAACAAAAAACACAAAGCTGTAATTATTGATTACTTAAGGAAAAGCTATCCTAATCTGATACTGCCTCCCCTGAACAGAACAGACTGCTAGTCTTACAGGGTTTTAGGAATTTCCAACTCTGAAGATTGACAGAATTTCAAAGGCAGGAGTGAATTAATGTCAGGTGTAAAAGCACTGTCACTCAAGTGAGGCAGTTACTGACTGGTTGGCATTTTGATGGGTGTTCACTGAAGTGAGTCTTCTTTTAGTTATAGATAAACAATTGCAAAGAAGTCATCAAAAGTGACACAGCCCAGCTACATAAAGGATAAAAGAATGCAAGGAGATGAGTCTAATTTTATTTGTGTTAAAGTTAATTGGTTTGCTCTTTGGGATGTTTAGGAAATTCTTGTCCCCAAAGTTACTACATTCCCTCTAGTTGGGTTCAGAAACACAAATTTGAAGGTGTTTTTCATTAGAATCCTAAGTATTTTTAAATATTTCTCAAATATTAATGTACATCTGTGTGGTTGGCTAATGTCTGCATGGCATTGATAATGGAATTATCACCTAAATAACCCTACTTCTAAATGGCTTTTTACATTTAAAGAATTAAACCTGACTTCAGTTACATGTTTACAAAGAATAATTTATTTGTCCCAAATTAAATGCACACTACAATGTGGAATATTCTTAAAGCTGAAAGTTGATTCAACTTTTATTTCGTATCCTCTTTCCTAAAATCGTAGTATGGTAAGGACCTTGCAGTTCACAAAAATTAAGGAGACAATGTTCCAATACTGGAGAAAAGTCGTGAAATGATTCAGTGAATTGACAAATAAAATATAGGAACTAGTAAGTGGGAAATTTAGCAGCTTTTTTGGTGGTATTTTGATTTGGGAAAGTTTTTTCAAAGAGCATGGGCTGGAAGGAAAAAACATACAGAGATTTAACGCAAAGAAATATTGTGCCAAAGTAAGTCCATTCTTAATTGACTAATTTTCAGAAGTAAGAGATTGTCAATAATAGACTAGTTCACAGAAGTCTATCCACTAAAGCAAATGGTTATTGGTTGGTTAAATGTGTTTAAACCAATCCTGGTATTTACTTGTTACTATGACTAAAGAACTGTCATTTCTTGATTAGGAAGATTCAAAACCTGTTCTGGTGGCTACTTTCGTACCATAATGGCCACTGGCCAATAATTTTTTTCTAGGAGTGTGGGAATTTTGTATTCTCATGTTATCCCCGACCCATGGAAACTTTTAGAATCTTCTTTCTCTGTCCTTAGTATACTGAAGTTTTGTAATGATGAGCCTTTATATAGGCTGTTTTGTTTTGTTTTGTTTTTTAAATTCCACTGTTGCATCATGCTGAATGCTTAGGAGACTTTTTAGTCTGGGCACTCATATTCTTGAGATCTGCCTTTGATTCCTGACTTTTTGTCTCCTCTCCCCCGTACTTCAGGAATAACTATTTAGTCTACTCTCTCTGCTAACTCATTTACCGTTTGTGTATCTCAGTGGCCGCAAATTCTTTCTGTAAATGCCACATAGTAAATATTCTAGGCTTTGCAGGCCAGATGGCCTCTGTTGTAGCTACTTAGCTCTGCCATTACAAGATAGCAACCACAGATGATACGCAAACGAGTAGGTATGGCTGTATTTCAATAAAATTTTATGTACAGATACAGGTAATGAGCTGGATTTGCTTGCAGACTTGTCCTCTATCCTATTCATCTTTACCAGAATGTTAGCTCAGTTGAGGGCAGGATTTTTTTTGTTGTTCATCGGGTATATCCTTGTACTTGGTAGGAACTCAGCTACTTGTGACTCAAGGTTGTAGGTGGTTCATAAAAGGGAAATAACATGTCTATCACTGCCATCTTGTAGCCAACAAAATGCCTCTTTGTGCTGTTTTTCAGCCCCCCTCCTTTTTGTTGATAGAGTGAATATTTTATTGTAATTGAATTTAGGATAGGGTGAAAGGTCGTGTCTATAATTCTGCAGTTTCTTTCTTCCTCTGATTGTTACAAAGAGCGCTTCTAATAGCGTCCTTTAGTAAGGCTGTTCACAGAATGCTCCATAGTAGTATGATATGGTAGTCATTTTAAATAAATCTATCTGCGTGAATGTGTTATTTGTATAAGAAGCACATGAATACAAAGATATTACTTAAGAATTCCTTTTTTTTTCCTTTAATAAGGTACTAGCTTTTACAAGATTGCACCATGCGTGAGTATAAGCTAGTCGTTCTTGGCTCGGGAGGCGTTGGAAAATCTGCTCTGGTAAGACATTCTCGCTGTACCTAAGGTTTTCACTCCAGGACTTGTTTTTCTGTTGAGTTTTTGGTTTTGCATATTTGTCTTTATCTGTTAAGGTGAAATCTCATAATTTTAAAAACAGCATATTTTTCTTGTAATTTTAGTCAACTTATAATTGTTTCTGGGTAAATAGATCATATTCTCTTTGGAACAGTGGTTGCAGACCAGTATGAGATATGTCACAGTACAGTTTGGACTAAAGAGTGAGAGCATGTAAATGTGTTGAAGGTCCCCATTTCAGAGCCAGATAGGAATACATTTTGGTCTTTCTCATTGTGAGTTGGCTTATAAGTTTTATGTTACAGAAATTAAATAAAGCTTATTTTTGAAGTGTTTTCAAATACAACTTTTGACTATCCCACTGTTTTCTGTATCTAGGAACAGTATAGCAAGAAAGAAGACACAACTTGAGGGTGGTGGGTGGGAAAGGGGGAAAAACTTGGGGAAAGAACTTGATGGGTATTTCAGAGTTTAGCAAAGCCCCACAATAAGACAGATTGACCATCATACTTTGCCACTTAGAATGAACACCTAGCACAGAATTTGACATACTTGGGTCAAACTGAGAAGTGTGTACAAGAGGGATGAGCTGCTTTTTCATTTGTAAATATATCCAAAGTGATGGGGAGGTGTCTTCAGTGTGCACATATGGGTGTACACAAAATAATTAGTCACTTTCTAACTAAAATTCATGTTTAAACCCTTAAGACTGAAATAGGAGCTATTTAAAATTTTTTAAATATATGCTAAGTCTAGACTTACCAAATAAGGAGCATGGTGATTATTAATTTTTTTTTTAAGCTTTCTAAGGTAATATTCCCACAACATGTATATGTTCAAATGCAGTTGTGGGTTTTTTTTTTAATAAATGATGTAACTACTTATATGAAATCAGTAGTTTAAAATGTACAGATTTGAATTTGTTCTTTTTCAGAATTATAATGGTATGTTAATTTTTTGCAGACTGTACAATTTGTTCAAGGAATTTTTGTTGAGAAATACGATCCTACGATAGAAGATTCTTATAGAAAGGTATATGTTACTTTAGAAGGCCTTTTGCTTTTGAGTTTACTATGAATAGAAATTCTTGCTTTTAGCTTAGTAATTATTGAATGTTGTTTACAAAGTAGGATGAAGAAGTAGAGTTAATTTATAAAATTAGTGGGGAAAGATCACACTTGACTATTTCCTGATATTGCATATTTACCATTTTATGAGGATCTTAAACAGTCACTCTTGCTCTTTCTTATTTCTCTCTCAAAGAATTTTAAGTTTACAGTGACCCCAAAATTGTAATTTGACACACAAACTTTAAAGTTAGGCTATCCATTTCAAGTGGTAACTCATGTTTCTCTCCCCTTCCTGCCCCCTCAAAGACTGACTACTCTCAGGCTCCCTTCTTTTTAACATTAAGATGTAAGTACAGAAATCTCCCTAACCTTCCTACTTACAACTCCTTGAGAAAGTTCCACTGCTCATAATACTAGAAAGGCTTATTTCTGTGTTCACTTACACAGCTTGTGACAATAAAACTTAATGTCTGCAGACATTTTTAATTTGGTAGAGACAGAGTTATCTCCCCATATTAATATAGCAGCCAACCTGACCTTTGCTGCTGTGCAGACATTGTGTTTCCGTTTCTCCCTCTGGGTCCACAGTCTACCAAAGGAAAAAAAAAAGGGAAACCCCTTCCTGCACCCCAGCTGTGAGGCAATATTACTCTTCTTTCCACATCTATAACTTTTCTTCCTAGGAAATGTTAGATGAAAAAGATAACAGGGTATATAATTTATTTGATAATTGTTCTCTGCTCCCTTGCAAACCAGAAATTTTGTTCCAGTATGGTGAAGAGGATGTGGTTATCTAGAGAAATGAAGGTGTACCTAAAGTATGGCAGAGTTGAGATAGAATAACTTCTGATCTCATTGGGACTATTACTGGTTTAAAACAATTTTTTCTTTAAGCTATTTTGAAATAATTTCCTATCCAGAATTAAGTGGTGAGTGATTCATACTGAATTTGCATCTTGTAGATATCCTTGTGTTGAATTGAGAAAACATGGTTTTTGCATCTCATGCAGTTTGGACATCAGTGGACTTTGGTTATCTAGCCATTTTTCCCTCCTGTTTAGTTCAAGTATTACTTGAGATTAGTTGTAAAGTTGTTATAATCTGTATCTCTGTTTTAAATATCATGTTAGCTTTTGTTTGTATATTAGTCTTGTATACATTAAAAAATGAAGCTGTATTTTAATTTCCCCCCCCAGCAAGTTGAAGTAGATGCACAACAGTGTATGCTTGAAATCTTGGATACTGCAGGAACGGTATGTAAACAAAGTACCAGAGTATATGCTCAACTTGTGCAGTGTTGACCTTATGAAATGCTAGTATTCTGTAGACAAATATTAGTTAAGCTTATTTAAAAGTACTGCTTGCATTAAGTCTTAAAGCTGTTTATATTGTTTTATCTTTTTGAGTTCTACTTTGTGTGTGCGCTTTGCAATTGGAGTGGGTCATTTATTGAAATAAGTAGAAAATCTGGATGAAAATTTTCATGGTCTCACTAGTACTTTTTTTAAAAAGTTAAAATATATTAAAATATATTAAATAATGTGGAAAATACTTGAGTGTACATTTATTCCTCATAGGCTGTGTGAAGTATTTTGAATGGTATCTTTCATCCTTCAGTGCATTTACAGACCAGCTAGATTTGTTTGTATCTAAAGGTGAAGGGAAGATTTATTCTGGATATGTGGTATTCATTCAACTAATGTTTGAGTACCCGATATGTGCCATGGACTGTGTTCTTACACTCAAAGGTTCACAATCTAGTGAAGGAGGGAAAGTGTGGGAAAATGGCAAAATATAGGTAAGCATACTGGTGGACCCCACAGAACTAGAGCATTGTGAGCTAGCTATGAGTAACGTGGTGATTCAATTTGGGTACCTTACATATTGTGATATATTAAAAAGCTATGTATAAGTAGCTTTTGGAGACAGGACATTTTTGTCTCATTAGTACTTATAAAAATAGTGCATTTTTACTTATATAGAGTATATTTATTGCACATAAATCTGCTTTGGTGTATTATTTTTAAATAAAAGACATTGAAATACCAATTTTTCAAATAGCCATGAACTGTAATTTTAAGAAATTTTACATAATGCTACTGCATTCTTCTTTGAGCTCTAATTATAGACTTTGAAAATTGTCAAACTGTCAAAAAATCTTACTGTTTTTAAATGATTCTTTCTTCCTATTGTAGGAACAATTTACAGCAATGAGGGATTTGTACATGAAAAATGGACAAGGCTTTGCATTAGTTTATTCCATCACAGCACAGTCCACATTTAATGATTTACAAGATCTCAGAGAACAGATTCTTCGAGTTAAAGACACTGATGATGTAAGCTGGCTTCATAATAAATATATTTTATTTCAAACTCTTATTGTAGTGATACCCAATTTAAAAATTTGAACTTAAATCCAATTCAAAGTTCATGTATTTTGGGGTCTTTTGTTTGTTTTTCAAAAGCTTTTTCCTTGAAAGGCAAAAACATATCCGTAACGTTATATGTAGTGTAAAAAGTGAGAAATAACCTTCTCTTCCCGTGTAAAATAAATTTTATACCCTTTCTATTTTTAAATCATGCATTTGGTTGAGAGGAAGGAGAGTTGTTGGTGGCAGGTATTACTAATAGAGCAGTTGATGTTCTGGTCATATTTCTGGTAGATTTAAGAGCCTTTTTAACAAAAATCAGAACAACATGAACACATCTCAAGCAACTATGACAGAGAAGGAGTACAATAATAATCATTTTAAAAGGCTAGATTCTAAAGTAAATTGAAGTATACTGTAATGCCCCTTCACAGTATACCATAATGGAGTTTAATCCCTGTTGGAAACTTCAAAAGGATTATTTTAATCCTCATCACATTTATATATAAATTGAGCTTGCATCAGAATCACCTGCAAAGCTGGTTAAAACAGATTGCCAGGCCCCGCTCCCAGAGTTTCTGATTTAGCAGATCTGGGATAGGGCTCAAGAATTTGCATTTCTAACAAATTTCCAGATGGTGTTGGTGCTGCTGGTGTGGGCACCACACTTTTAAGAACTTTTAAGAAACTATGTATAGTTTAATTATAGCAAATATTTTGAGAGCTTGTGGGTACATACTATGCTGGGAAATGCCGCCATTTCCTAAACTTCTGAGGCAGAACTTTGGGGGACCCTACAGCAACCTCAGTAAAGTTGTTTAACAGTGTCTCTGGTAGATGATGTAGTTTTCTATCCATTGCATTAAACAAGTATTTATTAATATAATACTATATGTCTGTTCCTTAAAAATCCAAAATTTGTAATTTTCTAGTTTAGATTTTTTCCAAAAATTTTTTAGAAAGCCAGTCTCTAATTGATTAATAGAAGTTTTGCAGAATAAGTATTATTTTTCCCTATACTGTCCTTTTAAAACTACAAACATCGCACATATCCAAACACATGACTAATATGGTCTAGATTTTTAGTAAATTAATACGATTTTGCTTTCTGGCTTTTTTACATAGAATATATGAGAAACTAAAAATTCTACTTTGGAGGCTTTACAAATTTCTCTCTCCTTTTTGTGTTACAAAATTGAGAATAAGTACTTGGTAAATACATGTTAAGAAACCAGAAAATTTGAAATTGATTTAAATCCCTTGGAGAAACATTTTATAAAATTTGGAATATATTGGCTTTTATGGCATACACTTTTATACTTTCTTTTTTGTGTTTTGTTTTCTAAAAATTTCACATGAAAGATTCTTAAATTAACATTTTAAGGCTTTCATATTTAACTGTAAATTTTATCATACATTATTAATTTAGTATTTTTCTCTGGCATAATATAAAAAGTAATCCTTCGAGTTGACTCTTAGAATTTTGATTTGAATTTACATAGCATATTTATTTACTTATTTACTTTTACCCTTTTAGGTTCCAATGATTCTGGTTGGTAATAAGTGTGACTTGGAAGATGAAAGAGTTGTAGGAAAGGAACAAGGTCAAAATCTAGCAAGACAGTGGAACAACTGTGCATTCTTAGAATCCTCTGCGAAATCAAAAATAAATGTTAATGAGGTATGGTAAAATGTAACACTTGATTTGGAATTCATTCAAAAGTAATGGAAAATAATGTGTGTGTTAACACAACTCCAAGTTAATTTGTACTCAGGATGCTTTGTTGATCAAATAGGCAAAAGTTTTACATTAAATAATAAGCGATGATGCTATGAGTCTCTATTAAATGCTGGTACAGTGGAATTTACTGTAAAGTAAAGGAGGGCTGGATAGAAGATGATAGAGATGGAGAAGACAGATTTAGTCTTCAGGTATGTGAAGGATGTTATATAAAAGGTGAAGATAAGTTCAAAACAGTATGAATGGGTCTTGCCTTGAAGAGGCTTAAAGTCATGCTGTAGAATAAAGATACATAGAGGTGAAGAAGAGTAAAGGATTGTTCTCTTTGGATGATGGTAAATATCCTTACTGAACTATGATCTCTGAAGCTCTTTCAACTCAGTATTTATTTTAAAGAGAACAATTTTAGCCCCCTCCCCCCCAAAAAAAGAAACAGAAAAGAAGTTGGTGATTACAAGATTACCTGGTTTTACTCTCATTCTTTAACTGAACAGAATATTTGCTCTCTGAGGTTCATTTATATCCATGGGAATTTCACTTTTTTCATTTTACTCTTTCATTTTTAGTTTTTGGGGATGTATTTTCCTGTAATGTAAAAAAAGTTAATATGTTTGCAGATCTTTTATGACCTAGTGCGGCAAATTAACAGAAAAACTCCAGTGCCTGGGAAGGCCCGCAAAAAGTCGTCATGTCAGCTGCTTTAATATACTAAATGCGTTGTAGCTCTGAGCCAGGTATGTTAATTTATCTTTTCCTCTGTTTTTGATTATTTGTTCATTTTATTCCTCTTTCAACTTCAACTTCATTAAGAGTACTCTGTCGAGACAGCAAGTATAGAGTTTTCTGTTCTAAAAAAGAAATGGATACTTCCTTTTTCACATATCCATGAATTAGTATGATATTCTAGTAATTAAAATAATTTCATTTGTACATCATCATCAGAAGTAAGGTATTCCACATAAGTGGAATGAGTTTATCCAATATATATTCATGCCTCAGTGGGTCACTGGTTTGTGCTGACGGTACAGTGATGACCAAAACCAGTCTTCTCTGCTTTCTTCTTTGTTGCCTTAAAGCTAAGTAAGGTCTAGAGGAAGAGTTAAACAAAAATTGTAAGATATGATAAATACTATTATAGAATAAATTAAATATAGTACTGATAATAAGAACTCCTGGCCTGTCACGTGCCAGGTGCTTTGAAGTACTGCCTATATATTAACTGAATTCTCACAGCAATCCTATGAGGCAGAAATGACTATAATTCCCATATTTCAGATGAGTGAATTGAGGCAGAAAAACATTGTTACCTGTTCAAGCCCTGCAGTTAGTAAATAGCAGAGCCAGAATTGAATCTAATGATCTGAGTGCATGGCTCAGAATTTAAACTCTGGACTGGCTCCCAAGTCCATAATTAGTCACTGTCCTGTTATGGGTACTAGTGGAGCACTTAACTGGGGTACCAAACCAGTCAGATGTGAACTGTGGATCTGGGGAAATCTTACCAGATTAAGAGACACCTAAGTTGAGGTCTGGTGGGTAAGTAAAAATTGTGTTAGGGGATAAAGAGTTCCCTGGCAGAAAGAACCACAGATACAACCCAGAGGTGAGACAGCAAAGGAAAACTGAACATACAACACTGTAACACAGCTTTTGAAAATACTCATATTAAATGAGTTAATACTTGTCAAGCAGTTAGTTCAGTGTTTGGGCACATGGTAAACCCTCATTTATTAGCTGCTGCTCTTTGCCAGTTATCATTAAACCATATTTTACTACACTCTTACCCTTGAGAACTTGTGATGTTTGTGGCTCTCATTCCTGTGTTAAATGGCCCTATACCACCGTAGCACTCTGATTCTGTATCTTTCTAAAGTTTTTGTCCCTACTTTCCATTTAAGGCTTTCTATTTAGAGATACAACCTCTCATTTTTTATATCCTCTCATTTCCAACTACGTGCCCATTCTTAAATGCACATGTGCTTGAGCTCACACATTCCCATTTGTCCTTTCCAAGTTGCTACATTCAGTCTGCTTGGATTTAGAAAACTTAGCACGCTCATTGAGACTCTAAATGAGGACTTAAAGTTCAAAACATTAGCGGAAATTATTTCAGCAACCACATCTATATCAACAACCTTTCTGGAGCTTACAACAAGCCTCATTCTCAGAAAACCAATTTTAGAAAGGAAATGTATTTTGTTTTTGTTTTTGGCCCAGGCATGTATGCAGAAAATCATCCATAGTAAATAAATAGTTGACAGGCAGTGAGTTCTGATTTTACTTTCTTTTACATCACTCTCAATTTTTCTAAGTTTAATTAGGTAAGATTTTATCGTAATAAGTCTCTTTCGACATCCATCTTAAAGTTGATAGAATCTGTTTAAATTTAGAAATTACATAGCTGTCAACTGTAAAGAGTCATCGTGAAATAAATTCCATTTTGTCAGCTTCACTGAACCAGGTTTTTAGCCACTCTATTTGAAGACTAGGGAAGAAAAGTCTTGATTTTCTGATACTAGAAAGCCTGGTTAGTTATGCATTCTGTACTTGTGATGTAATCCTAGAATTGTAAACACTTAACAGGATCACCCATTTTGTTAATATTGCTTTCTGTCTTATAATCCTAATTCTAATAAAGTTGACCTGATGTAAAGTTATAATGTGGTGTTTGGAGGGTTCTTTTTTTGTTGTTGGGGTTTTTCGCTTTTAAACTTTGTAAGGCGGTACACAGAAATTTACACTAAGGTATATTCCCTTTTGTACCTAAAACTTCCATGACTGACTTTCAAAAACTCAGCAGAATAAATGAAATCATTCCAAAAAAGATGAAAATGTCTACTAATGCTTTGCTGTGAATTATGGTACATTGATATTAGTGTAATGACAAGTACAAGAACGTGTATTATATTTATTTCTGACACTTTAGCACTGTTTGTCTTAATATGTCCTTTGAATCTTAATGTTTACAACCTATGTTTTCAGTTACTTTAATTTTTTCCTTTTGGCAGGTCTGAAGAACTGTTGCCCAATTCAACAGTGCCAGCATTCCAACTTTGTTAAACCTACCAACATCTTAAATGGACTTTCTGTGGTGGTACCCTTTAAGAGGCGGATGAAAGCTACTTTATCAGTTTGCACATTCTAATCACTTTCCAGTATCACAAAAGAGATTTTTACTTATATAATAGTCCTAGAGTATGCTGCTGGTAAAACCAGAGGCTACAATCCAGTATTACTGCTAAGAGACATTTTTCATCCACCAATGTTGTACATGTATGAAAATGGTGTACTGTATACTTTAACACACCCCATACTTTGTATTGGAGAGTACAATAATGTAAATCCTAAAAGCACCACTATTTTAGCATAATAAAAGAAAGTCCAAAGAGCTCCTATATAGACTACTCCAGATAACTTTGCTTCTTTGATACTTGTAGCTTATTGTAATTTTTTTTAAGAAATTCAAGGTCATTATCATTGTATTGTACAAATAAGCGCTTTGATTAACACAGCTATATAGTTTTTTTAATTTTTAAAAAACCTGTGGAGACAGTGATTTTGTCTTTAAATATGATAGTCCTTTCAGTATAATGTCTTAGATTAAAGACGTTGCCTTTAATATCTGTTGGGAAGGAAATGTCCAGACTTTTCAGATCTCTTATTATGTGTTTCCTTTTTTGTTTACATAGGGAACAATGTTTATAGTTGTGTGTACAGTGGGGGTCTACAACAAGAAGTGTATATTTTCAAACAATTTTTTAATGATTTAACAATTTTTGTAAATCATTTTCAGGCTTCTGCAGCTGTAGATTCTCACTGTGAATCCCTTGCTTGCTCATGCATAAGTGTATTTGCAATACCAAATATACAGGTTTAGTATTTTTGCCTGTTAGTGATTGTTTCACATGTGTAACGTTTTGGTTGAGATGTTAAATGGTGGACGAGTACTGTGGATGTGAATGTGGGAAGTAATTTTAATCATGTGTAATTGGTCACAAGGCCTAAGTTGCAGTAACTATTGCTGTTTTATTTAACAATGCCTTGTTGCTTTGTATGCATTAATGTTTGGGTGTAAAGATTGTGTGTCTATCCAACAGGGAGCCACAGTATTTAAATTGACCAACCTAATGTTACAACTACTTTGAGGTGGCCAAATGTAAACTAAAAGCCTTAATTAAAGTGGTGCAATTTTGTATAACTTAGCATCAGTAGTTCAATAAATTTGGATTGCCATGCAAGGGCTTGCATTATAATTACTTGCCACTTGAATGTGTTCTGTGTAATGTTTAACAGTGCTAGTAAATAAATATGGGTTTAACTTCTTTTTAAATGTAATAGGTGCATTTTGCATAGCATGGTTTCATAACTTAACATTTGGGCAAGCTAGACCGATTCATTAATTATAGAAATAATGAGTAAAAAATGTCAGATATTTTTCCTAGTATTGTTTGAATATCCACATAACCATCTTTTAAATTTTTCCTTTGAAAGAATTTTTTGTAAATCAAGCAATACTATTTATGAACATATGCATTCTGGGTAATATTCAGTAGCTCTTTGAGGTATAGGAGAAAGAATTGAAAATACTTTGGCAGATGTTACACTTAGGGTTTTTTTAAATTATAGGGTACAGTTATATTTAGAGTATTATGGTTATAAAAATCTTTAAATGACGTGGACTCAGGTACTACTATCTTTTTATAAAATGGGTCTATCCTTGTCTTTTGTATGCTCTAATTCAGTTCTTTTTTGAAATTTGTAAAACAAAGCTTAACTCAGACTCTCAAAGTATTTGCCAGCCACTGGAGCATATCAGCAATTAATTAGTGATACCATCTGATTTTGAGGTGTCTGGTAATCCCCTGAGTACTTGGTATTTGAATGGGACATTTAAAGGCCTTCATTTTAAGAAGAAAAAAGTCTTATTCCTTACATATTTAATTCACAGAGTTCTGAATATTTAAAGGTTCCATGTATCTAATGAAAAAAATGTTTCTTTGGAATTGTGGAGCACTAAAATCACTTCAGTTTATTATGTCCTGGTACATTCATTGGCCCTCTTTGAGGGCACCACCATTAATTCAGTTACCTTTAATAAATGTTTGTTGCCTACCAGCTCCGTGCCAGGCTGACTTCTGGAATCTTAAAAACATAAATATTCAACAGAGAAATTTAAGTAATCTCTTGTCAAGCGTTTTTTCTAGATCTGAGGATAGAAGAGCAACCGAGATCAGCTTCAGACCCTGCCATCCTAGAATTTATACTTTACCTTAGAGTTTCTTAGTCTCAGCCCTATGGATATTGTATGCTAGACAGTGAGTTGTGGGGGGCTTTCCTGTGCACTGTAGGATTTTTATCAGCATTCCTGGACTCTTCCCACCAGACATCAGTGTTACCACCCCCACTCCCAAGTTGAGACAATCAAAATTGTCTCTTAAACATTGCCTAGTGTCCTCCAGTTAGATTCAGGGAGGACAGAATCACCCCAGTTGAGAACTACTGATCCTAGTGGGAAACACATTAATTACAGATCAGTGTTAGGGCTATAAAATGGCCAGTTTGGTATAGTGAATAAGAATATGGGCTCTAGAGCCAGATTTCCTGGATTTCACATCCCAGCTCTGCCACTTCCTAACATGTGACCCTGGTTAGGTTCCTTGGTTGCTTTGTCTATAAAACGGGAATGATAGTAGCACCTACTTTATAGGAGTTAAGGACAGTGAATTACATGGCCAGTGTCATCCTCTAGGTCAGTATTTTTGTTTTTATTTTGTATTTTGCCAATAGAAATGATGCTGTGGTTTGGCAAAAAGCACCATTGTCTCCCATACAGAATAATAACAGCAGCTTAGAAATGCAAATCATACGGAGATTGAGTTTTCTGGTGCCTAAGTGGAAAAAATACTGAAATAATTCAGAAAGCTCATGAGTTACTTTTCATGTCCCCAAGGATCCTTGGAGAAGCGTGAATTTTTGGAGAATATCAGATTGATGTTTTACTTGATTTTTCTAAAAAGTGTAAAAACCCTGTTTTGACTTTGGGATTTAGCTTTTTTTTCTTAAATACATGATCTTTACCACATGTGGACATCTTGAGTAGAAAGCTTTAAAATCTCCATTTATGAAAGTAAGTTTTGCTTTGCTTTAAATTTTAATTATCTTTAGATATAGGGCAGCAAATTTAGAATCAAAACTCATAACTGCAACATTTCTTCTTTTAGTTTACTTCAGTCTGTGTCTTCATTGAATTTAGTCCCCATCTATTATTCTGTCTCCTCTTTATCTTGGAAATGTAGAGTTATAGTATTTTATAATTAATACTCTTATGACCTTATCTTAGAAATCATAGTGTTTGTAGGCTTATTTCTCAAACTGTCAGTGAGCCTTGACAAATTGTGATTTATAAGACTCAAATTTTTTAAAATCTTTTGCAGTGCATCAGTACATCTGGCATTTTATGAAAGCATGAGAGAAGTGGAATAGACTGAAAATAGAACTAGACTTATGTTCTCTTAACTGACCATTGAGAGAAGAATGCGTGAGTTCTTGTGATATTGCTGATACTTGTCAAAACTGGCTACTAAATCTATTAATGTAGCAACTAAGTTTGTAGGCTTGACATTAGTTTATCTTTGAATGGTAGAAAAAAAATACTGCTAAATACGTCCATTTTCTAAATGCTGGAAAAGTGTTACACATGTTGCACATACTTTGAACTTGCTCCCTTAGAACATCCTTTGTGTGGCCTATAGGATACTGACCTTAAAAATTAAGTTTTATACAAAATTAGGGATATCCAACTGATTGTTCCATCTAAGAATCAACAAACGCATTCAGTACTGCATATTTTCCATGTTCTGAGCACTGTTCACTATGCCAGCATGGATACAGCAGGGATCTTCTGCCCACAAGGAGCTTGCATTCTACTAGGGAGGAATAGTCAGCAAATGAACAAAGCTCAGTTGGTAAAATCTGTTAAACTTTCTAAGAGATTTCCATTTGAGGCAATTTAATGATTTTAGAAAAGCATGGTATCATTTTTTAATATGTATGAAGATTTTTTTAATTTGTAGGCATTAATTTATCCCGACTTGTCTGACATAGTGCAGAGAGAATTTTTATTATTTTGTTATATTACGAACCTAGTTTAACCTGATTTTCCTTGTAGAGTGACTTAAATGAGGTAATTATCCATATTTAGCATTTGGGTCAAAATGCAGGGTTTTTTCCCTGAAAACTGGATTTTCCTGAAAACAGGATTCTTATGTGAATAATATATTCACTTAAATCAAAAGGTTACAATAGGTTTTAAATAGTCAGAGATCAAAGCCTTTAATGTTTTTGTCATCTGCCATTATTACCCAGTCAAATTTCTATTTATAGTGTGGTAGTTTATGTCCCCTGGGAACACTGAGTTCAGAACAGGAAACTTACTGTCAGACTTTTGAGTGTGCAATGTGCTGGGCTTGGAGGAAAAGGGAGCAGTAAATGATAGAATAAACCCAGTCCCTGTTGGCAAGATGCTAATCTATTTGTTGGTGGTGGGAAAGGTCCAGGCAGAAAGTATCAAATGAGCAAAAATCTAATATCTCATATCTAACCGCAGAGAGTTCATGCTCCATTATCCCTGCTAATTCCATGTGGATAACAGTAAAAATTGTATTTTGCTTTAAAATGTATAGACTGTTTGATTTATATTTCTAGCTATTAGTTCTACTCAGGTCAGTGTTAGATTCTCTGAGCAAATCAGACAGTGATGGAAAACTACATGACTGGCAGGGAAAAAAAAGTCTTTTCATACTGGAAATGGAGCAAGATCAGATGGGTACAGTGTAGTGTGGATTGTTACCAGCAAACCACTGTATTGTTCTGAATGAGAGTAATATGGCTAAAGCAAAAGATTTTGACATCTGTGTGAAAGATAGCTTAGAAGATACAATGGTAGAGCTAGGATTAATCCAGCCAGTTCATAATAGCTGCTTGATTCTGTAAGCATGAAGTTATTAGGATTGGATCTGCAGTGAGGAGATCCCAAGAAGTTTTAAAAAGGAATAACTGGAGAATTGGTTAATGGCTTAGATATAAGGGCTGAAGGAAAGAGTGGAATACCAGATTATATTAGCAGAACCAGAGGGATTGAACACCAGTGATGATAAAATACAGAAGCCAGCAAGGAATTTTGGGTTTCAGTGCATGAGTGAAAACTTTTTGGTAAACAAAGTTTAAGTGAAGTATCTTAAAGAGTATCTTCTGGGAAAAGGTAGATTTTAAGTTAGACCTTGAAGTCTTTGACATACGAGAGGCAACTGAAACCATGAGTGTGAATCTAATTATTTTTATAAGGGTTAAGCATAGAGAAAGAAAAATAGGAAAGCCTGGCTCAAGTGGGATGGGAAGGAGAAAGATTAGAGTGTAAAGGATTGCTGTTACAAAGACAAGGGCAGAGAAGGCTGCAAATAGCCTTCTGTAGCCTGGCAGTGCAGCATCCTTGATGGCCAAGAGCAAGACAGTGTTCCCCTCTACTTGTCTTGTGCTGTGAGCTAGCAGTAATTCATTCTCTAGATGCATCATAATTTATATCTGTCTCTTCATAACTCCTTGGTGGAGAATTGGCTGCTAATCTAAGGAGATGGTAGGATAGTTTTGGAAAGACTATCCTCTAATTAGTACTAGGTCTATGGATGTCTGTGCAGCAACTACAGGCATACTTCGAATGAAAATACTGCAGGTTCAGGTCCAGACCATTGCAGTAAAGCAAATATTGCAATAAAGCGAGTCACAAACTTTTTTAGTTTCCCAGTGCATATAAAAGTTACATTTATACTATACTGTAATCTGTTAAGCATGCAGTAGCATTATGTCTAAAAAACACAATGTACATACCTTAATTTAAAAGCACTGTATTGCTAAAAAATGCTAATCATCCTCTGAGCCTTCAGAGAGTCATCATCTTTTTGCTGGTGGAGAGTGTTGCCTCAGTGTTGATGGCTGCTGACTGGTCTGGGTGATGATTGCTGAAGGTTGGGCTGGCTATGGCAGTTTCTTAAAATCAGACAACAGTGATATTTGCCACATTGATTGACTCTTCCTTTCATAAACAATTTCTCTGTAACATGCAATGCTGTTTGATCGCATTTTATCCACAGTAAAACTTCTTTGAAAAATGAAATCAGTCCTCTCTAGCCCTACTGCTTTTTATCAACTAAGTTTATGTAATGTTCTAAATCCTTTGTTGTTATTTCAACAGTCTTTA